ATAGGATCATATCATCAGCAAATAGGGATAGTTTGACTTCTTCCTTACCAATCTGGATGCCTTTGATTTCCCTTTCTTGCCTTATGGCCCTGGTTAGGACTTCCAGTACAATGTTGAATAGAAGTGGTGATAGTGGGCATCCTTGTCTGGTTCCTGTGAGATCAATAAGATCTTTTGCAAAGAAGTATGACAGCCAGTTTTTGTTAGCTAAGTTAGATCACTATGTACTTTACCCTGTTGTGATGGCCTGTGATTATATAATAAACCCCACTTTACCAAAGGTTAAGGACAAAATAAATGCACATGTTGAATTTATATGAAAGCATTTATCACACCTTGATAGAAAAGATAGGATTAAAAAACTGATCTCACTGATGAATCATATTTTCATTGCAATAAGTAAGACTCCCCCACCTGCCCTCCCCTTGCCCCCACTCCAATTCATCCCGGAATACTATCTCATATTCTAAAAAAGCACCCATAGAAAGCATCTCCAATACAAGCCGTCCAAGATCTAATGTAACTGAGAAGTAACTCAAAGACATTTGAAAATCACTTAAAAATGTAAAATTAAATTTTAAAAAGGAGAGCATCCAGAGTCACCTCACCATCAACCTTCATAAGAATATTATACTTCTTCTATACAATATAACAGTGGATATGGACTCCAACAACTCCATCTGTTCAAATAAGAACGTATTTCTCACATAGGAAGGGGATTGTTCAACCAAAGAGCAAGCTGGTGTTCTGGTTCAGTTGTGACTTACTTTAAATACATAACTCTGTTATAAGTTTATGAGGCAAATACAGGTACTCTATATGAACCATTAAAAATAGTAGAGTTTTCAAGTGCTTTTTGATACTTATTCAGAATTAAACACTTTATTGTTTTCTTTTTTAGTTTTTTAAAAAAAAAACAAAAACACTCCTGGAAAGTAAACTACTCCTAAAAGTATAATCATTAGGATACAACATTGGGAGAAACACAAGGGTCAGACATAGCACCCTCTTCCCAAATTGAACAATTTTATGAAATCTAAGGCACATTAATTTTATTTCTGACGTTTTAAAACCTCTCATATGTACTATGTTCCTAATATAATATTATATTGGGGGAAATCTAATCTATTTCTAACTAGAGTTCAACTCTCAATATAATAATGCTAGCAAAGTCCTCCATCTTGAGGTGGCACCAGCATTTACTTAGGTCAAATGACATGTGGAAAATCACATTATCCAGGCAGAGGAAATCTCCTAAACAGATTTTTTTTTCGTGGTAATCTGTATGGGATTTGACCTATCATTTTGATGTGCATCACAAGGTATCTCTGCAAATTCCAAACTCTGTGGGATTCTGTCCTTATAGGATGTTTGTTTTGTGGTCATGCTTCACAGTTTCTCAAATTTTGCACTCATTTGGGTTAGACGTTATACAGCTTCTTTAAGCCATACTTAAGTAAAGCTATACTTTAAAACGATGAGATTACAGAGTTCCATAATGATGTTAAGGGTACAGACAGTCCATTATACGTACATGTATAAAAGAAATGCAAAATGGTTCAGTGACTTATCAATTTCAAAGAGCAAACCAGATGTAACAGTAGAACAGAAAGAAGGAACCTAGCTTTTAATAGCAGGCGATAATAACCACAATTAACTAGATGGAATAAAAAATTACTTTTGTAGTATTTGAATGCTAAGAGATACATTTTAAGATCACTTAGCCCAACTTTCCCCGACTTACAAATAAGGAAACAGAAGCCCAGAAGTTAAGCAACTTACTTGGGATGAGAGTTTAGCTAAACTAATTATTTTGCCTCAGGGTGTACAATAGAACCTTATCCTGACAAAGAAATTACATTGCACAGTTTCCAATTCAGAGATACAGAAAGACAGCTCTCAATTGACCTTCAGTTGTTTTGCAAAAGTAACTGTGAATGCAGCAATGCAGACATAAATAGGGAAAAATAGGAAAGACAATATCTTCATTTTGTACTTAAATGTCAATATAAAATGTGGTATTGTCAAACCAACCCAATGGTAGAAGGTAAGTAGGCAAAGTTTATGGGTTTAATAAGTATTTCTTTTGAATGTGTCAATGAGTACATGGGCAACAAAGAGCCAGTACCTTGCTTTTCTGGAACCACCAGAAGTAAGGAAGGAGGTGGGAAAATGACTGAAGTTAGGGTTACTTAAGGCTATTCAGAAACTTGGCATGTTCTTCTCCTCTTGGTAACAGGGTTTCTCCTCCTATCTTTGGACCTTTCTTTTCCTACAAAAATGAAAATATTTTAATTGGAAACGATTCAGTATTATTTGCATGGGTTTGTAAACTTAGTCACCTTGAAAATGACATACCTTTAGCATTCCATCCCGTTCCCATTTGAAGAGGCCACAATTACTGAAACCAAAAAGATGGGTTTACTCAGCATGTGTGCACATAAAGACAACACTGCTCAATTCGGGGGAAATGCACCCATTCAAGGAGAATCTGATCTAAGGGACACTCATATTATAGGTCAAATCTGAGGCTATAAGCTGCTACTAAAAATAAAAACACCAGTGATTTGAGAGATGGTCTTTAATTCCTTAGTAAGCTAGACCCTTCAGAGATGGAATTTCACATAATATTTTAACAAGGTTATTTGCACTATGTCCCTGGGTGGTGCAAATGGTACATGTGCTCAGCTGCTAAGTTGAAGGTTGGAGATTTGTGTCTACTCAGAGGTGCCTCAGAAGAAAGGCCTGGCCATCTGCTGCTGAAAAACCAGTCACTGAAAATCCTATGGAGCACAGCTCTACTCTGACATACATGGGGTTGCCATGAGTCAGAGTCATCTCCATGTGAACTGATTTTAACCATACTGTATGTGATGAGAAGCAGCACTGGTAGCTGCAATGGTTAAAGTGCTCAGCTGCTAACCAAAAGGTCTGCAGTTTGAACCCACCAGCCGCTTTGCAGCAGAAAGATGTGGCAGTCTGCTTCTGTAAACATTACAGCCTTGGAAACCCTATGGGCAGTTCTACTCTGTCCTACAGGGTCACTATGAGTAAGAATCGACTCAATGACAATGGGTATGCTTTTAGTTTTTTGGTATATGATGAGTGCAAATCTGGTTTCTGAGAGATGGTTCCTGGGGTGAGATTTAGGAAGTGAGCCCTCTGATATAGGGTGGTCTGTGGCTTGCCCTTTCCTGGAGTTAACAGGTTATAACAAGAAAGGATGAATTTTCTTTCTGGTCTAGATAATACTTCTATCTTTTTCTTCATAACTCAAAGACTTTACTCTTTTACTATTCAAAGGGCCTGGGGTCTCTTTTTAACATGGTGGGGGAAGCCAACCCTAAGGTGGGATGTGGACACAACGGGGAAAGCCTATTTTCCACTGGGTTCACCCTGGGGAACAAAAACAGAAAGAGAAAAGAAATACAAGTTACAGAAATACATTTTCTAGCACCGCTGGATTTAAAGGCGTGCAGGGAGCAGAGGAGTACCTAAGCTGCCTCATCTTTTTCCCCTGAGAGTTAACATGCCAGTGGCCTCAGCTTTGAGCAGCTCTACCTTCCCACTCTAGAGACCGGTTCTCACCCATCTACAAGAGACCTGAACTTCCCATAACCAGCCCTGAAAGGCTGAGGCACCCTCTATCCATCAGAGAGCTGTCAGGACCTAGATACCATGCTTCCATCACTGCCATTCTTCAATTCCCACTCATGAAGAGGACAATTCTGTCACTTCTCTCTCTACCTCAAAACCAAACCCACTGCTGTCAAGTCAATTCTGACTCACAATGACCTCCACTGGGTTTCCGAGGCAGTAAAACTTTTTTTTACAATTGTGATTTGGGCGAAAGTTTACAGAGCAAATTCGTTTTGCATACAGCAGTTCACAAACACTTTTTCTCATGACATTGACTACAACTGACCACAATGCAACAGCTCCTGTCCCACTTCCTCCCCATAGCTACCTCTTCCTTGTATCCTTCCTTCCATGCACTCCTGCCCCCCCACACCTGCTATCTCCCTGTTTATACACAGCCCTTCTATTCTCCCATGATTGTTCTCTCCAAGGAGTGTATCTACCTAGTGTAAATGTTTACCTCATATGCCTGTATTTTGTTTTGCTGGAAGCCACAGGAGTGGGTTCAATTCCAGACCAGAAGGGCAGCTAGAGGCCACAGTCTCAGTGGTTCCATCAGGCTCTATCAGACCAGCAAACCTGGTCCCCACCCTACCCCCCCCCTTTTTTTAATGATTTTGAGTTTTATTCCACATTGTTCTCCCTCTCTATCCAGGGTCTCCTACAGAGATCCCCCTCAGAGTGGTTGACAGTGGTAGCCGGGCACCATCTAGTTCTTCTGGTCTTACAGTCGTATAGGCTAAGGATCACATGGGGTACTAGTCGCTTGGACTAATTGTTTCCATGAATCTTTGGTTTTCTTCATTCTTCTTTGCGCTGGACAAGGAGCAAAAAACGAAGGAGAGACCCTTCGTTCCAAGGCAGTAAATCTTCACAGAAGTAGATTACCCTGTCTTCCTTACACGGACTGGCTGGTGGGTTTGAACTGCCAGCCTTCTGGTTAGCAGTCAAATGCCTTAGGCATTGTGCCGCCAGAACTCCTTTCTTTCCACCTAGCTGTCAGCAATTCTCTGACCCTTCATTTCCTCCATTGCACACATCCATTTTTTCTACTTTTAGAATATGGAAGAGATGTTCCTTTGAAAATATGATGGACACTTTTCTGTACTTAGTGCACTCAGTATCTGGTAACACAACTAAACCCTATCCTTGAAACACTCTCTTCTCTTGGCTTTCATGACACTAGACTCTCTTAGTTTTCCTCTACCTTTTCAGCCATACCCTCCTTGTCTACCCCTTAAATGGGGGTAGGTCATTGTGGATTAAATCAAATAGCTTCATAACTTTTCTAAAATAATATTTTCTGTAGTGATCACTTTACTGGGCAAAGAAAGAAATCATTTCTGCCTCAGCTCTACAGCAGTGATTCTCCACTTGTAGAAACTAACCTAGAATCTGGGACATTTCCCCAAACTACATAGACTTCTTAGAGATTTATTCATGTTGTTCCTTCTGTCTAGATTGCTCATCCCCCTCTTGGCCTCCTTAATTTCTATTCATTGTTTATTTATTAGCTCAACAGTAACTTCCTCAGTTACTTCTCTGGTCACCTTCCTTGACAGCATCAAGTCTCCCCAGAAATGCTCATATACCACTAGCACCATACACTTTTCCTTGAAGCAGGCAGAATGATTTTAATTTACATAATTGTACAACCGACAAATCAATGTCTATCTTCTTCACTGACTCTTTGAAGGCAGGGATCATGTCTGTTTTGTTCTTCACAATTTCTGAAGCACAGCACAATCCCAGCATAACCACTTATTGAATGAATAAACAAGTGTATGAATGGGCTCGTGAGGGACTCATCGTTGAGAGCCAAGGGAAATCACTGCTTCTGATGGGTGAGGTTATTCAGGTAGGCTTGGTTGATATAAACACTGAGAAATTCTACTTTAAAGAAACAAAAAGATCATACACTATCATCCCCCTCATTTTTTGAAGCTTATTTTGAGGAAAGAAATGTCTACCCCAACCAACCTCTAGATCAGTGGCTTGCTAATTCTTTGGGGAGCCCAGTTCTATTTAAGAAAGGGAAAAGATTCCATAGCTCATCTACTCTCTTTGTTCTAAAATTGGCTTTAAGAACCAAAAGAATTCTAAGAGAATGGAGGGGGTACTATACTTTCAGATTGGTTTAATAGCTGGCAAAAGAACTCTGTAGCCCATTAATAGATCAATGGTGGTATTAGGAACAAATCACTGTTCCAGCCAAAGGTCAGCAAACAGAATCACTTACTGAAGGCACTGGAGAGTGGCAGAGACAAGAACTAGGGGACCTGAGCAGGGAAAACCTTGGAGAGATGAGCTAACTTGTAGCTTCTTTTAACTGGAGATCATTTGCTAATTTTAGGTAAACGGACATAACCCTGGGGCTGCGGGGACATAAGCAGAAAGTCTTTGCAAAGCTAAGTTTAAGTCCCTCCACCTCCAATTGTGGAAACCAAAGATTAGTATTTGAATACAACAGGCTCTAATGTAAAAACACTGAAGGTCCAGGAACTGACCAGAAGTAGATTTAGCCCTACCAGGTTTGCAAACCAGTGACTCAGCCCAGTCCTGATACAGAGTAAAATGATAAGCCTAGCTGAGGGAGAGTGAACCCTCTCAAGAGAAAGATAACCTCACTGCCAACCCAGTTTTCCCTCCTGATAACATGACCAAAGTACATGAGACGAAGTCTTGCTATCCTCGCTTTCCCCTGGAAATTTGGACTTGTAGCCTTCTAAGAGGTGACAGAATAAATTTGTTTGTTAAAGGCATCCACTTGTGATATTTCTGTCATAGCAGCATTATATAACTAAGACATCAACTTTCCCATAGTTCTTTAATTTTTCAACATTTTTTGAGGCCCTCCTATGAGAGTTCTGGTGGCTGTTAACCAAAAGGTTGGTGATTTGAACCCACCAGTCACTCTGTGGGAGAAAGATGAAGCAATCTGCTTCTCTACAGCAGATTACTCTGACCTATAGGGTCACTACAAGTCAGAATTGACTTGATGGCAGTGGGTCTGTTTTTTTAAACTATGGGCCAGGTATTACATAAGTACTGGGGCTATGACAGTGAAAAAAGCAGAATCTTTTCCTGTAAGGAACTTTCATTAAACAGGGATATCCAGGAGCTGTAAGAAGGCTCAGAAACAAGACCTCACAAAATGACTGTCTAACATCCCAATGCACTAGCGTCAGACAGAAATTGGAAAGAACAAAAGAACCCTAGACATACCTGCAGTGCTTCTTAGGGAGCCTGTCAAGGGAGATACTTCTGTTTCCACAGGGACACTTGAAAAACCTCTTCACACCGTCATGCCAGGAGTAGTCATGTTGCTCACTGACGCAGGTCTCCAAGGGCTTGAAATGGGTGTAGGCACACTGCATAGAACCAACAGAAGGACACACAGTCAGTGAAGTCTTTTGACAGAGAAACTGGCTGTCCTTAGAGCAATTGGCTTAGTAATAACTTCTGCTCTTCCTACTCAGGTAGCTACTAGTGGAGTCTGTTTCTTTTCTTCTGCTACAGTGACCCAAGTAATTTCTTTACTCTGTCTCATACTGATACTACTTTTTCTCATGCTTGTTCAATTTCTAGTCAAGCATGAAGTACACAATAATCTGTGATACTAAGACAACAGTAAGGGTAAAAGAAGAATATTGTAAATCTCTAAATCGCTAAGGTTGGTCTGTCCTAATTTACTATAGTTCCTTGATTATAGGATTTTCTGATATATAATACTATAATCAAGGGACCACAGTATATATGCACACACATAGCCCTGGTGGTGCAATGGTTAGGCACTTGGCTGCTAATTGAAAGGTTGATGGTTCAAATCCACCAGCTGCTTCATAGGAGAAAGATGTGGCAGTCTATTCTCATAAAGATTGCAACCTTGGAAACCCTAAGGGGCAGCTCTATATAGATTCCATTATGATCTGTTGTTGTTGTTGTTATGTGTCGTCGAGTCAGACCTGACTCATAGCGACCCCTCCTTGGGTTTCCGAGGCTGTATTACTATGGAAGTAGATTGCCCCATCTTCCTTCCGAGGAGTGGCTGGTGGGTTTGAACCGCCAGCCTTCTGGTTAGCAGTAAAGTGCCTTAGGCATTACACTACCAGAGCTTCCCCATTATGATCTAGAATCCATTAAATGGCACACAACAACAAATATATATATATACACACATATATATAAAACACACATACACATTACCCTACTATAATTCCCTGCCATACACATTACCCTACTATAGTTCCCTGCTTGGGACTTATTTATGAAGACTTATCAGTAGCTCTTCAATTTTCTCTTAGAAATCTATAAAAGGGATATAAGCTTATTATTATTCTTAACTCCTAAGCAGCAAACTCAAGACAAAGATGGAGATATTAAATAATTGATAATTTCGATCCTCAGAAGGACTGAACAGACCAAAAAATGGTAGGCGAAGGAGGAAAAATGTGCCAGGACAGTGCAATGTAATTCTTGGTAACTATGTTGAGTCTAGATAAATAACTTTAGACTTTGGGAATCTCAAAAAGTACAGAACAGAATGCCAGCTGTGACAGCCTGAATAATTCTCCCATCTCAAAGATGTCCACGTCCTAATCGCTAGAACCTGTGGCAATGTCAGGTGTGGTAGTTATGTTTGTGTGTAACTTGGCTGGACCTGTTGTGTGGCTGGGCAGCTGGTGGTAGTTATTCCCCATGATGAGGCTGGCAATCAACTCCATGGTGGGATCTACCACAAGCAGCTGAGTAGCTGCCTTTGGGATATGATCTGCTTCCTGTATTTAAGGAGAAGCCTTGGGAATGGTCTCTAGCCTATGGCACACTTGGACCCTACTTGTAGCTGTGTCGTTGCTCAGTAGCCTGCTATGCTCTGCCAACCTTGGGACTTACAATGGGATTAAGTTAATGGCCTGCCATGTGATTTGGTAACGTTGAGACTGTGTCTTTTCACTTGTCAACCTTGGGGCTTCTCAGCCTCAGCAGCTGTCTGAGTGAAGAAATGCCTCTAGCTCCAGTGGGCTGGGAGCAGGAGGCAGAGGTGGACCCCAAGTTTGAGGGGCTTTCACCCAGCCCCTAGAGATTGGCACTTTGAGCTTTGACTTAAAGCCTCCAAATTGTAAGAATAAACTCCTGTTTGTTAAGGCCTCCCATTTGTGGTATATATCTCATCAGAGCGGCACTAGGTAACCAGAACATCAGGTTATGTGGCAAAGGGGAATTAAGGTTGCAGATGAAATGAAGATTGCTAATCAATTGACCTTAAGATAGGGCGATCATCTGGGATTACTTGGGTAGACCTAGTGTGATCACAAAGGCCCTGGTAGGAGGAAGAGGGAGGCAGAAGATAAAGTCAAAGTGATTTGATGTAAGAATGACTTAACCTGCTGTTGCTGGCTTTGAAGATACAAAAAGTGGGTGATGAACTAAGAGATCTGAGCAGCCCCCAGCAGCTAAAAACAGCAAGGGAACAGATTCTCCCCTAGAGCCTCCAAAAAGAAATGCAGGCTTCTAATGCCTTTAGTCCAGTGAAACCCATTTAGACTTCTGACCCATAAGATAATAAATTCATGCCGTTTTTAAGCCACTAAGTTTGTGATAATTTGTTACAGCAGCATTCACCAGCTCTATCCTTAGGTAAAGGATATTTACTCAGAGTAAAGGCTATTATCTGAGATAAAATGCAATGGTGACTTCTTTTTTTCTTCTAAAAATTATGTTTGAAATAATCACCTCTACTTATTTGTCAAGGCATAAACTTTCTGAAAGACCCTTTTGGTGGCATCTCACTCAAGGCCAACTAACTCCTAAATGTAGAGGAGAACCTAAGGTTTTCAATGGAATACAAAATCAAGGAAACTGTACTTGGTAAGCTAAGTGTCTTCCCTGTCACACGTTTCTTTGGCTGACTGGCCATCCAGGTATATTTGGAGTGAGTGGTAATGTGCAAAGCAGTGTTCAACAAGATAATTTAAAAAATTTTTCATTTTTAGATCCTGGATAGAGAGGGAGAACAATGTGGAACAAAACTCAAAATCATTTGGGAAAAAAAAAGGGGGACCAGGTTTGCTGGTCTGATAGAGCCTGGTGGAACCACTGAGACTATGACCCCAGCTGCCCTTCAGGTCTGGAACTGAACCCACACCTGTGGCTTCCAGCCAAGCAAAAGACAGGCATATGAGTTGAACATTTACCTGAGGTAGATACACTCCTTGGAGAGAACAATCACGGGACAAAGAAGGACTGTTTATGCACAGGGAGACAGCTCAGGGGGCAGGAATGCATGGAGGGATAGACACAGGGAAGAGGTGACTGTTGGGAGGAAGTGGGAGGGGAGCTGTTGCATTGTGGTAAATTGTGGTCAATGTCATGAGACAAAATGTATGTGAACTGCTGTATAGAAAGTGAATTTTCTCTGTAAAATTTCACCTAAATCACAATCAAAAAACGAAAAAAAAAAAATTTTCCATTTTTTATTCATGTTGGGAATAGAGGGCATAGAATTTTCCAACAAACACAGGGTGAAAATTCTGTAAACATGGACAAAGATACAAACATACTTTGACTTGAGCCTTAATTTAGTAGCTTAAGTCATAGTAGAAAAGGACAACAGTAAGTGATCATCATAACATGTGATGCCAAGTCAAACAGTTCAGCCAAGGTCTCAGGGATATAACAGGCACTTAAGAAAGGGAGGTAAGACTAACTTTGATTCAGTGGTCAAGGGGAAAATGATGTTAGAGGCTCATGTGCCGAGCTGCTCAGATGAGGGAGAACCTTATCTGCAGATGCTCTATCATCAGAGCTCAACAGGCTCAAAGCAGGCAGGGAACCAGATCCCTGGCTTCCATAGGTGGTGTGTTTCCAGCCTAATTAAATAACATGTACAGGAGTCCAGTCACAAGATATGGCCCCACATCCCACAGACTTTCAACACAAGCACCACAAACAGGGCCATGGGTCCCAACCATCTCCTTCACTTACTGTCTTGCATGTCACTACTCGACATTTCACTTCTCTGATGTTTTTCATCTTTTCTTCCATTTGTTCTTTTTTTATCAGTGGCTCAAAATAGCGTTCCTGCAGCTCTGCCTCAGTCTGGAATAACAAGGCACAAAGGAGACCTTGTATCAAACCCAATATATATTCAGGCAGTAGTTCAATAATAATCAAAAGAGAACAGAAAAACCAAGCTAATTTTATGAAGATGCTTGGACGCCTGATAAAACTTAAATGATCTGCAAACCAAAGGAAGATTCCAAGTAGAAAGAAGCCCTCAGTAGGCAAAAAAGATAGGAAAGCACTTGGTGATTTTTAAAATACCAAATGCAAATAAAAAACACTAACATTATTAATAGCATTATAATGAGTCGAGTACCCATTAAAAGGTAATTAATGCACTGTTCCAGTACAAACTCAACGTATTAAAGTACTCAATACCTGCCTAGTGACAACAGACAATCTATTAGATATTATTGTCCAGATCAAGCACTTGGCAGAACTGGAAATAGGCATGAGGGCAGATATTTACAGCAGAATGTGGCCAAGCTCTAGAGGTACTGCAGTTACACAAAGCAAAAGGGTCCAGGTCTTCTGGTGGCCACACTGCAGAACTCAGTTCTACAGTCCTTTAGTGTGGGCTTTAGCATCTCTCCTGAGTTTCAAGTCCAGTAGACAGACATAACTGTTTCTTTAGTCATTTGTTAATGAAAAATGCTCATCATTCAGAGTAGTGGTACTAAATGGGGACAACACTGCCCTGAAGGGACCCATTTTGAAAATGTATGGAGCATTTTTCATTAATGATTGGGGGGCGCTATGGCAGGGACCAAGGGTGTTACACCTCCTGCAATGCTGCAGTAGTGAACAGTTCCTTACATAACAAAGAATTGTTCTCACATGGCTTCTGAATGCTGTGTGGGACATCATGTGGCTGAAAAACTTGATTATAACCCTAAAACCTATTTTATATACAACCCTAAAATACAGTACATGGTTTTAATTAAAAAAAAAAACAAAAACAAAAAAAAAAACCTCACTGTTGTCGAGTCAACTGCAACCCATAGCAACCCCTCCTTGGGTTTCCAAGGTGGTATTTTCTATAGAAGTAGACTTCCCAATCTTCCTTCTGAGGAGTGGCTGGTGGTTTTGAACCACCAGCCTTCTGGTTAGCAGTCAAATGCCTTAGGCACTACGCCACCAGAGCTCCATGGTTTTAAAAGATATTGCATACTCCAGGAGTGCAACTGTATTGCGGGTCAACTGTACTTTGGTTTGTTTGAAAGTTTCCCAGGATTATTCATCATTAAAAAAAAAAAATCACATTATCCAAGAAATATACCTATGATTTTTAAGTCACCAAGAAAACATGCATTATCAGTTTTCATTTCTGTCTCATTTACACTTATAAACCCAAGTCTCTGACTAGTTCATTCTTTCTTCTAGTATAGTTATGTCCAAGCATCTACATATTGAAATATCTTTATTTCTTATATTTTCTTTTTTTGAAAAATAGCTTATTCACACTTATAAACCCAAGTCTCTGACTAGTTCGTTCTTTCTTCTAGTATAGTTATGTCCAAGCATCTACATATTGAAATATCTTTATTTCTTATATTTTCTTTTTTTGAAAAATAGCTTATTCTTTTTTTGCTGTAGTTGTTGAGAATATACACAGCAAAAACACCAATTCAAGTTTCCGTATGTACAATTCAGTGACAATGACAATTATTTTTCTTTTTTCCTCTCTACATTAGCTAGAATATTTGATATTTTTGATTTTGAAATATTGATATTTCTGAAATTAATAGTGTATATAATTTATATTATCCATGAATTTTACTTCAGAATAATAAGGAAACAATACAAAATACTTGCTATTAAAAAGGGAAATGGGAGTGACAGGGTTGAGCACCACTGAATTTACATCATCCTTTGGGCTTTTACCTCTTTGAGGAGCTCTGTGTGCTTAGATTTTGCTTTTAGAATTTTCTGAAATTCTTCAGATTCCAGGTAGGCAAGTTGCTCCCTCCATTTTTTCTTAGCAGGTTCCAATTCATCCTCAGCTACAGCAGAAAGGAAAAACATTAACTGTTAAGAATTTCAAGAAGCTATAGTGGTGTACTGGTTAAGGCATTTGATAGCCAACCAAAAGGCTGGTGGTTTGAACCCCCTACTGCTCCACAAAAGAAAGGCATTCTGCTTCCGAAACGATTATAGCCTTGGAAACCCAATGGAGGTCACTATGAGGTAGAATCAACTTGATGGCAGTGAGGATGATTTGGTTTTTGTTTGGTTAAGAATTTCAGAAAGCCAGAGTGGTCCATCAGATTAGCTCCCCCCTACCCTTTCTTCCTCTGCCTACCACATCCTTCAAACTTTATTTACCCCAGTTGGTACTGGCAGATGAAAGCTCTTAAGAAGAAATGAGCTGAGAAACAGAGCCTAGAATATGAGGTGGGGCAGGTTTGACCACTAGGTTAGAATCTTTTTTCATCTTAAAATAGAGAGCTGATTATAATAGGCAATGACAACAAAAATCCTGCATACAAAATGATTTTAAAATAACACTGTCAACTTCAGAGTTCAAAAAATAAAAACAGAGCAATCTAAAACATAGACTCTACTTCTTTTGAAGTCTTCACATTAATACATGTGCAAACACTGAGCGAGTAATCCTTTTCCCAAGTGTTCAAACTGTGTACAACTTCACTACAAGTCAATGTGATTATAAAAACCAATCAGTTCCAGATGGTAGAAATTCTACTTAGGTAACTCTAACCAAAAAGTCAACTCACTGCCATCGAGTCAGATCCAAGAGATCATAGCAATCTCTCCTTGGGTTTCCGAGGCAGTATTACTACAGAAGTAGATTGCCCAACCTTCCTCCCGAGGAGTGGCTGGTGGGTTTGAACTGCCAGCCTTCTGGTTAGCAGTCAAATGTCTTTGGCACCATACCACCAGAGCTCCTTAGGTAACTCAATGTAGATGTAAAATGAAGTAAAATAATGACTTTTGATATCAGGGATGTGGTTATAGTTTAGAACATTTCCTTTATAAATAGCTTCTCTTTCCCATTACTAACTCTGAAATTTGTAGTACCTTGAGGAGAAAATGTGTTGCTTTTTTCTACACGGTCCTTCACTTCCAGGACATCCTCTGGGTCCATTTGCTTCCTTTTAATGCTGTTTGGATCTGTCTTTGTAAGAATCTGGCCTTTTGCCCTTATTTTGGTTATTGCGGCTAACTAGAAAAAAGAGAACAGAGAGAAGGAGATGAAAATCTAAAAGATGAAACAGGTACCTACAAACCCATACCTCCTGCAGTTATTAACTAATGAATTCTGGCTGGTCTTGAATATAAACTGGCAGAATATGTCTTTAATTTACCTAGCATTATTAATAGTTATTAAAATGTCAAAAGCATGGGAGATAGGTTTGTAACAGTTTAACCTAAGCTAGACTGTAGACCTCAGTGGCACCATAGCCTTTTTTATTAAGATCTTACACAACTACAAACAGACTAGGCAAGAAATTTTAGACTTTCCCATTGAGTCTCATGAGAATAGCTCCATGGCTTCTAGACACATAGAGGAATCATATTACCATTTTGGAAGTCTGTTTTGGATCACACAGAATTAGGTTAGAGTTCTAGTGCTGCTACTTACTAGCTTGCAACCTTAGTCGAGTTACTTAATTTTTCAGCCTCAGTTTCTACGTTTATAAAATAAGAATGATGCATTACCTATCTTTTAAGGTTGTGGTTATGCAGATGAAATAATATATGTAAAGCATGTACCTGTACAAAGTATATAGCATACATCCATATCACAGGCCTTAATAATAATATTAATATTAGTAGAGGGTGACAATTGTTATTAATACCATCATTATCACATGTAAGATTTTGACTTATAATTAGCCTTTTGCCCTTAATTTGGTTATCTCAGCGGACTAGAATAAAAAGAAAGAGGTTCTAATGAGGTTGCTCCAGAGCACAGACTCAGCTCCCACATAAGATTTCTTTTAAAGAAGGAGTCCAGTGTTAAATAAACTTGCAAAACACTATTTTACAGTCTTGTCTCAGCATTCCAGGAATTTTTTCCTATTGTCAGTGTCTCTAGCTATAAAACAGTATCTTCTTCTAAGCTATCTCCTTCAGTCTGCCAAGAAACACTATGGATCATAGCTAACTTTCTTGGATTAAAAAAAATAGTACTATGTTGATACCATTATCATCTAACATTCCTTTGACCACAATTATCATGACTGATAAATAGCTATTAGGTATCTTTCTTTCCTGGTAATGAGTATGTAAAGCTTGAAACTCAAGCCGTGCCTCGCAAAAGGCAAATTCAAGTGTTCAAGAAGATAAGCGCCAGTTACCTTTTTGGCTTCAGACAAAGCATTCAGTTTTGGTCTTGGTGGTGGTGAGTCATCAAAGAAGAGAATATCATCTCCTGCAGAGATGCCTCGTCCAAGCTTTGGTGTCTGTGTGGCTGGGGCTCCTTCCAGCCTGGGAAACTTGGCTCTCATTTGTGGAGACTGAGAAGGGGGCTGTCGAGACGAGGATGGTAGAGCTGGACTCTCGCCTTTACTTGAGCTTTGGAGAAATCTTTAAAGAAATGCGGAGTAACATAATATGCAAACAGGCCATTAGAAGATGTGAAAGACATCTCTAGAACTCAAACTGGACTAGGAGACCTTGCAAAGGTCACCAGCTGACGACTAGTTAGTAATTTAAATTAACACACAGTAAGAACAATACTGGCTCCCCAACTCTTGCTAACTGAGTCTTCAATGAATGAGCTATAATTGTTTTCCAATTTAGGACCGGCTGTCATTTTTACCAATCGTCTTTCCAGTGGGTCTCTTCTACAGAATACAGACCTGAAGCTGAGGCACAGACTGTATTGCCAGCTCTATGGGTACCCTTGGGAGCTTTAGGAACTCACTTAATTCTCTGTAATTTTGTTTTCTTTACTCTGGCGAGAAGAGGCAGTGTATGTGACAGACACACTTGGGAAGTACATTATGGAAAGGTGTTAAAATTTGCATGGTGATTATTTTATATAGTTTTAAGGGCTATTTAAAAACAACAACAAACCTCAGATATCATCTAGGTCAAAACTCTTATTTTATAAATGACAAAATCAAAGTCCGTGATTGAGCTGCATTTACAAGTAATCTGAGGCCAGTAGTGTTTCATTCCCACACACCCGTTCTCTCAAGCACTAGGCTGAACTTGCTAACAGGTACTCTCTTTCTCCACCAGGCCCATAACTCCACACATAGTGGTACACGTGGCAGCTCCACATATTAATATCTTCTGTAGGTGCATGAATACTACTACTGAGATCCCATCAGCACCTTAAACTAACCTGCCCAAGTCCAGACCCATTTCCTTATTTTTCTAAGAATTTCCTCTTCACTTAATTGACTTCCCTGTTCATGGAACTATCTATCTTTCAGTAGCCCAGACTAGGACAGCATAATGGGCAAACACTGAACTAGGGAGCTCAAAACTTGGCTCTCTGATCTTCAGTTTAATAATTCACAAAACAAGGATAGTATCTGTCTCAGTCATTGGGTGCTCTGGTGGCATAGTGCCTAAGGCATTTGACTGCTAACCAGAAGGTTAGAGCTTCAAACTCACCAGCCAGAAGGAAGGCTGGACAATCTACTTCCGTAGTGATCCCCCCTCGGAAACCCAAGGAGGGGTCGCTATGAGTGGATCCGACTCGATGGCAGCACGTTCAGCGTCATTGGGAGGACTGAATGAGATAATGCTTTTACTCAGTGTGTAACACACAATGCTTAGTACATATTAAGCATGTGGAAACAGTAACTCTAATTACTACTGTTCGGACAATCTGAATTCAGGAATCTTTGATTTGTTCTCCTCTCACATTCATTTACATTTATTTTGCCTCTTAAATATCTACTTTCAGTGCTTCATTGTATCATTTACCTGAACAACCACACTCTCTATTTAATGGCTATGCCCCATAATTAAAAACCTAATTGTGGCAATACCAAAAAATGGGAGCCAAACAGGTCAAAAGATGCTTCCCCTTTCACAAAGCCTTTTTCAAATTTTCTCCTTGTGGTAGGTTCAGTTTGTGTGTCAACTTGGCTGGGCCTGGTTGAATGGCTGGCCAGCTGGATGTAGTATTCCCCATGATGATACTGGTAATCAACTCCATGGTGGAATCTACTGTGAGCAGCTGAGTAGCTGCCTTTGGGTATGTGGTCTGCTTCCTGTATATAAGAAACAGCTTTGGGAATGGTCTCCAGCTTACGGCACACTTGGACCCTGCATGAAGCATGTCATTTTTCAGCAGCCTGCCATGTTCTGCCGCCCTTGGGACTTACAACGGACTTGAATTAATGGCCTGCCGTGTAGTTTGGCAACATCAGGGCCTGTGCCATTTTATTTGCCAACCTTGGGCTTGTGAGCCTCAGCAGCCAGTAGCTGCCTGAGTGAAGAGATGCCTCCAGCTTCAGTGGGCCAGGAGCAAGAGGCAGAGCTGAAGCCCAAGGTCAAGGGGCTTTCACACAGCCCCTAGAGCCTGGCACTTTGAATTCGGACTTAAAGCCTCCAATCTGCAAGAAAATAAACTCCTGTTTGTTAAAATAATCCCATTTGTGGTATATTCCTGTCAGAGTGGCACTAGGTAACCAGAATACTCCTTCTCCTCAACGACTACATCTCTCACTGTGACCCTCACCATCTGGTATCAGGAGTCATTAGCTTAAGTAAGAAATATATAGCCTTACACGCTATTTAGATTATGTTAAAATTAATTTAAAACATTCAAATACAAAAATGAAGCCAACCAAAATCTGAAGTTGTATTTTTGAAATCCATTAAGACATTCTGAGGATTCCCAAGATGTGTTATCCACACATGGACTGTAAAATCTACTTACTGCTCTTACCGTTTCTGTATTTCTTCTGATTTCTTTTTCCTCATCTCCAACATATGTTGCTTCTGTTGCTTTAAGAGGGCTGATGCTGAGATAGACTGTATAGCAGGTTTAGGGCTCCCCATGATCCCTAAAACACAAGCCCACAGACTGAGAGGGTTCACTGAGGGAAGTCATATATATGTACTACACTAGGAGTCCGAGGAGCCCTGGTGGTGGAATGATTAAGGGTCTAGCTGCTAACTAAAACGCTGGCTGTCAAACGCACCAGGAAAAACAACCTGGCATCTGCTCCCATAAAGATTATGGCCTTGGAGACCCAATGGGGAATTTCTACTCTGTCTTATATAGTGGCTACGAGTTGGAATCAACTCAGCAGTATGTGCAACAGCAGGAGTCTCTGTGTGGTGGTAACACGATTGGCTGCTAACTGAAAGTGCAGAGGTCTCAGTGTCCTCAGAGGCTCTTCAGAAGAAAAGCCTGGTGATTTACTTTTGAAAATCAGCCAATGAAAACTCCATGGAGCACAGTTCTACTCTGACACGGGTGGGGTCTCCAGGAGTCAGAGTTGACTCAATGGCAAGTGGTCAGGAGCAAGCTGATCATACCTGATGTCTTGGCTTTGGCCAGATGTTGTTTTAAGTTTCTGGCTCCAAAGGTAGGCAAGTCCATCAATTCTCTGAACTCCTCAGAACAAGAAAAGCTCTTCTGTGGTATTCCTATAGTATAAAAACATCAGCCTTGTAAGATTCAATTCTGAAACTTTGATGTCATGAGTCACCATCTCACATTTTATACTTTGTATTCAATATTCAGTCATTTATAAATAAAGCAGACAAAACACCAAGAGAAAAAAAGAATCCTTGCCTCTAACATCAGACTAGTGGTCACAAATCAATCTTAGGTCTAGTTATAATTAGGAAACTAAGCAATTAATATGCTGGGTCATTTAATACATTATTTCTGGAATATACACTATGGGAAAGGATTTATGTTCATCCCTGACCACTGTGTATGAACAAAGCCACAAGTACAGGAATGAGGTGGCAGTTTCTGATCTAAATCTGTTTTAACCAAGGATAAGATAGGTTTGACCAGGAGCCTAATAAAAATGATTCTAATACTGGACGTTAAGAGTTACATCCAGGTATGTCAAGAAATTTAAAAAAACATACTACATTAAAGCATGGCTAAGATTAGTATAGGAATGAATCCCTGGGTGGGGTAAACAGTTAATGTGCTCGGATGCTAGGGGAAAGATTGGATTTTTGAGCCCACCTAGGCACACTTTAGAAGAAAGGTCTGGTGATCTTCCAAAATGTCAGCCATTGAAAATTGTGCTCCTATAGAGCACAGTTCTATTCTTAGGCAGGGTTGCTATCAGTTGGAGTCAGTTTCACGGCAACTGGTACAAGGTATGGTCCCTCTTCTCAACATAGTGCCAAAAGGCTTGATTCCTTCAGTGTAGACCCTGTAACCCATTAACTATATGTGATGAGTGGATATTTATAACTTATTATATGAGTTATAACCATCATCAATCCTAAAGACTACATATTTAAGCTGGAGAAAGAAATTTAATATGGAGAAAAGGTTACCGAGTTTTTGTTTAGTTTCCTGAATAATCAGATTTGTGCCCTTAACCACCATATCCGTCAGAGTGGTTTGAATCTTCTTCTTAGGAGCAACAGCTGCTGCACTGAAATGACAAGAGCCACCCCCCAAAAAATCATTTCACGTGAATGTTCTGATGAGGTAAAGAAGGCACAGAAATACTCAGTTCACTGCTACAAACTGTCCAAACTTCTCAAAACACGAGAGCACAAAGCAGGATTTCTAAATGCTATGGTGCTATGGCATACATAATCAATACGCAAAGGTCATGGAGCCCACAACTTTTCTTGAGGTTGTCCTGGAAGGGCAGTTTGGCAATAGAAATCAAATATATGCTAACATGTTGATCTAGCAGTCTAGGAATTTACCTTAAGATGATGAAGGACTATGTAAAGTTTAGGATATTAACTGCAGCTTTGTTTAAAATGTTAAAAGTTGGAAACAGCATTAATGTCCATCCATAGGGAATTGCTTAAATAAATTATCATAGAGCCATGTAGAAGAATACTATGAAGCCAGTAAAAATAGTGCCAGAGATGAATATTGAAAAAGAAAACGTTAATCATTTTATGTGGAAAAAAGAAGGATACAAAATACAGGTACAGTATGATCTCATTTTATATTACTAGAAATTTTTCACACACACACACCCCAAAACAAAACCTAGAAGTATGTATATGCAAGAACTAATAGTGATCTAGCAGTGGGATTCTGGATGGCTTTTGGCTGGATTGCATAATCTTTCTATAATGTACAGGTACTGTTTTTGCAGTTTGGAAAAATACAGATGCTGTTTTAAATCTTAGAATATGTTTGACATTACAAAATGGACAGAAAGTGCAAGTACTCTTGCCCAAATCCTCCTGGATCGGGAACAGTCTACCCTTTGTTCTTGGATCAACTATAGTTCCCTTGTGCCAAGCCCCCACCACTTACGTTTTCAGAAGTGGTTTCTACGCTACAGGTGACAGGCCGTCGAACACCTACTTCAGGGATTCTACAAAGAATCTGAAATTTCCCAGATCTCACGTGTCTGTGTGATACTTCACTACGTATTCATTATTTTAATTAAATTTGGGTTCTGATGTCCGCATCCTCACTTAATGATTTAAATGGGGAAATTATTTAAAGGATATTAACACTAACATCAACTTACATTTAAAATTGTTCAATGGAATTTAAGATTTGTTTTCACAATGTTAATGCGACATTAACTTACTTTTAATGCCATGTAATCAGCTCAGACAAAGCTGTACTATGCAAGTTAGAAGTCAGATAGGAAGAAGTGTCTGGGTTCTATGTTAACGAATATCATGACTCAATTTCTCTCCCTGCTGTACATGGTCTCCTCTCTACCTGGAAATAAAAGAGGTCTGTATATATTTTGTTACATGCAATGAGGTATGAAAGATAGAATCTGAACAAGTATTCTATGACAGTTACAGAAAAGCACGATTGGATAACTCATAAGACAAGTAAAACACTTGTTGCAAAAGAAGCCCTGAGAACATCTTACACTGAGGCTGCATATGATGCAGAAGAAACTCCTCCATAGTAAAAACCATCTTGACACAGCCGTTCCTTTAAGCTAATGCCTTTGCGGGCAAACTTCTTTGGAATTCGTCCTCCGGAGAAGGTGGACTGCAAGTCTGCTCGCTTTGCACTGAGCTTCCTGTACTGAGCCTGGATGTGATATTGACAGTACTCACAGTCATTCTGCAAAACAGGAAGAACAGCTGTATCAGTTAGGGCTACAGGGAAGGGAACACCGTCACGTAGACCATTTCCTCTCTCCTACCTTCATATGATACTATTCTTCATAGAGAACCCTTCCTACCAACCTTTAAGACCACTCCCAAAACGAAAGAGTTATGCAATTACAGGAAAGTTCTTCCCTTAAATTACATTTTAAAGTACTGGTTTGGTGAAAGAAAAAGTGAAAAAATCCATCTCCTTTGCCTTTTTTAAAAAATGGAAATAAAATCAGCTTCTAATGAGGTTTTTCTAGCCATTTCTCAGGTTGTCTCTTGGGAAAATGTTACTCTTTCAATGAAAGAAACAACTTAGTATTATTGTATTTGGTGAAGTCTGAGACATAGTGACGATGAATTTTTAATAATCTATGTGGTTCAGTGGTAAATTCAGCCATCCACACAGGAGGCACTGGGTCGATTCCTGGCTAATGCACCTCACACAGCCACCACTCATGTCAGTGGAGGCTTGCAGGTGCTTTGATGCTGAGCAGGTTTCAGTGGAGCTTCCAGTCTAAGATGGGCTAGGAAGAAAGCCCTGGTGATCTATTTCTAAAAATCTGCCGATGAAAAACCTATGGATCACAAAGGTCCAATCCCCTGCTAACCACGAGGATGGGCAGGACTGAGTATTTAGTTCTGTTGTCCATGAATCAGGCGCTGACTCAATGGCAGTTCACAACAACAACTCAGACTCCAACAACTCCAAGCTCTTACTTAGAGATCTGTCAGGTCCTTCACTCTGAGACTTCTTTTCCCATCTATCTTCCTAAAGATAGGAAACCAAAACCTGTCATTTTACAACTTTCAAAGAGCTTTAACATACCCACTTCACATCCACTAGGATGAGTATAATAAAAAAGACAGACAATAGTAAGTGTTGGCAAGGATGTGGAGAAACTGGGACTCTTATGCAACATGGTGGGATTGTTTTCCAGTTGCTTTGGAGAACAGTTTGGCAGTTCTTCAAAATGTTTAACAGTTATCCTATGATGTAGCAACTCCACCCCTACATATATAGCCAAGGGAACTGAAAACATACATCCATGCAAAAACTTGTACATGAATGCTCATAGCAACATTATTCAAAATAATCAAAATGTGGAAGCAATCCCAATAACCATCAACTGATGAATGGATAAACAAAATGTGGTATATCTATTTAATGGAATATTATTCAGCCATAAAAAGGACCAAAGTACTGATACACACTACATCATGGATAACCCTTAAAAACATGAAAGAAAGCAGCCAGACATAAAAGGCCATATACTGTATGAGTCCATTTATAGGAAATGTCTAGAATAAGTAAATCCATAGAAATATACAACAGACTAGGGTTTCCAGGGGCTGGGGGCAAGAAAGAAGGAGTGAGTGCTACTTGGTACAGGTTTCTTTTTAGGGTAATGAAAATGTTCTGAAATTAGACAGTGTTGATGGTTGTGCCACTGTGGGAATTAACTATATACTTTCAAAGGGTGAATTATAGGTTTAGAAGTTTCATCTAATAAAGATTTTAAAAAAAGGTCTCAATGAAAAGGTGCAATATAAAATATAGACTAAAATAAGGTTTTCAGTATGTTTCATCATTAGTATTGGACCCTGGAACTAAAAAGAATTGAAGACAAACTAGTATTCTGATTTTTTTATACCTTCTAGTCATTTGGCAAAAAAATATCACTTTCCTTAAAAGTTAAATTCTTCCTGTCCCCGCCACTGCCTTTTTTTAACTGACAATTGTTAACTACGATGGCCAGATTATCTCTGAAAATTCATATTTAATCTTCTCATTTTGACCCTTTCGGTTAAGTAAGAGATTCAGTTCCAAACTTGTCATTACAGCAAAAGTACCTATAATTTATTTCTAATAGTTCCCTTCTTTAGCAGAAACCGTGCTAACAAGGCAGAAACCAACCAAATTAACAATCTGTGTGCACGGCTGTCCATTCTTCTTCTTTGCTTTACAGGTTCCCAGGTCAAGAGCTTCACCCATAATCAAGACTTTTTGAGGATGATCAATAGATAAGCACACCTGGGAAAAAGAGGTGGGGGAGGAGATAAAAGCAGGCAAAATTCTAGCTTTTCATCAGTAAAAACGTAAGAACGTTGGTGATGATTTAAGGCTTTACCAGTATAAAGGCATTTGAAGTCAGAGACCTATAAAATACTTAGAAATGGGAGCATGGAAGATACTTAATTTAGTTCTCTACTCAATCTCCATTCTTTCCGTCTTAGTGATTTATTTAGGCTGGCAACATGCTCAGCCTCAGGTAACGGTTCCTGCTCCTGTTTCCCCAGCATTGCTTATAACTAGTGCTGGCCATGAGACTTAAGCTAGTTAAATGGGAGTTGGTATGACTGGAAACACTTTTGCTTTCTTGATAAATGAAGATAGACAAGGCTGGCTCAACACTCCTCTTTACTTCCTGCCCTGAGGAGATAAATGATTACTAAAGTTTCAGTGCTATCTTGTGACAAAAAAGGGAAAGGCCAAAAGAATTTCAGAATATTGGTATGTGGGGAATAGAACAAATTAAAGACAAAAAACCCACAAGAATGGAGACATGATGTTATGAAAGTAGGACTAATTACCTGGCAGTAGACCCAAATAAAGTTTTTTTGATAAAACTTGGCTAAGTTATAAAGACCAAAAAGAAAACTATGGAAAAAGTCTTACCTCTTCTGAACCATCCTTGGGTTTCATTGGGTTAGCATTGAGTAATCCTATGACGGTACCTTGTTCAGTCTTCCAAAGTTCTTTGTGAACTTCTCTAAACAAGAACAATGACACATACTGCGTCAGGTCACGAAGATCATTCAGTCGCCAGATGCTAAATGTTTTCCCCTGGAACAAATATTTATTCCTATTTTAATAATTTTTGAACAATGGGTTACACTGTTTCCACTTATGGTTCTAGGGTTCTTGTATGGAAAAATATATATTCTGCACTAAATATGTAATCATCAGCAAGTTAAACATAAATCATTCCTTTCCCTAGGCTTCAGTATTTATTACCCTTCTTATTTCAGAGATGAAGTGAAATAAGGCAAGCCAGTGGCAAACTGTTACTAGCCTCACTAGACTCTTCAACTCCCAGGTCCGAGATTTAGTTAGTGGAAAAGCAATGCCTTTTAATGATGCACATACGCTTACCATGTCCACACACAGTGATAAAGAGGAAAGGGGAAGCCATGCTACTTCAGATCAGCACCTCACTGATGTGAATAGACACCATGTAAACAATAAATCCTTATTCATCATTGATTAATTATATTATTAATAATTAAAATAAAGAGGTTTCAGCTCTACACTATTACATGTATGCTTAGTTTAGAAGATTAACAAAACTAGCATTTAAAGAAAATTGCTCTGGAACTGAACTGTAAAATTTCATAGGTATAATTAACTATCTGAAGAACTGTAAGTCAGAGTGCTGATCACTTATAATACGAACAACTTCTACTGTTAGATTGTTAAAAAACACAATACTTGGAATAATATTGAATTAAGCTGCTTCACAGAGGTGTTCCAGGGTGGGTATTGTTATAAGTTATAGTGAGTGACTACCTACACTCTGCTATAATTATTGTTCCATGGGATTGTACAATACTTTTCATGGAAGAATTCTAATAAAACTTCACACCTATTATTTCAATGTCATTATAGCCACTTGTGATGCAATTAAGAACTTAATCAAATGAAAATCAGACTTGTTCACTATAATAGGGTTAAAACAGTCCAGTAATCTAAGAATCATATTACTCCCGTCATCAGATCTCATAAAAATCTAAGGTTGGCTAAAATGTAAATTAGACAGTGAAATCAGTTGTGACCATGATTGATTATAGTATTTTTGAGCTGGAAGAGGCTTTCAGTACAATCAAAGACAGTTACTTCATTTTATAGACAAATAAATGGAGGTCCTTCAAGAAAAAATAAGGATCAACCTAAGGCCACTTAACTAGTTAAAGGGAGAATGAGGCTTAGAATCCAAGTTCTCAGACCTGCTTGGCAACAGAATACTTTTCCTCATTATGTTTAGTCAGCTGGTATTTATACAACTTGTTAGATCGTTTGTAATATCCATCTAATTAAATATATCATACATTCCAGCATGGGCCAACAATTCTAGAACTTGCACAGTTGCCATCTTATATCTAATAACAATCTCCAAAGAATCTGTGGATTCAGTCTCTATGACACCTGCTCCTCTCCTCCACAGGAGGGATTACAGTGTCATAGGGACAATCACATGTGTCACCAAAAACAACAAGTGAAATGCAGTAAGAATGATTCTGACGATGAAAAGCCTAAGACACCCAAACAACGAGATCTTCTTTAAGTAGGACACTCTTCACATATAACCCCCTTGGATACTTACCCATTGACAGTGTGCAGCTTTGGAATTTTCTAGTAGGGAGCTCTGGTAGCATAGTGGCTAAGACACTTGCCTGCTAACCAGATGGCTGGCGGTTCAAACCC